GTTTCCCCTTCCAACCTTGATTCCCGAGCTGCTGGAGTTGTACGACATCACCATCAGCCAGCTCGTACCTAACGCCCTCTGGACCATCGTGGCTATGATGGTGTGGGCTCGGCTTAGGGGCGTGGAGTTGATGTTGAAACTATTCCGCGCCATGTTCGTGCCTAGGAAGCATGCTTCCGAGGCCAACATGTACTGCTTCCACCCGAGGAGAGGGAAGCCAGTGCACAACCCCTCTTCCATTCACAGGTGAAAGGACAAGTTTTTCTACGTCTCCCGCCCCGAGGGTTGGCACTTCAGGTTCGATTGGGGGGAGGCTCGCGTCGTCAAGAGATGTCCCCCATTGCTCTGTGACGAAGAGGCTGCAGTAGTAGGTCATCTACTTGTGATGGGGACATTCCAGGTGAAGCCATTGGTGGAGGAGGAGGTCCCCCTAGACTTCATTGGGATTAGCCCAGCCCCCCTCGGTAGGAGAGGTTTTGTAGTTAGTGCGCCTTCCACGTTCTTTTCTTTTTCTTTTTGCTGATGTTCTAACTACTTTCTTTTGTTGTTTCGTAGAAGTGCCAATGGACGTTAAGGAGCGCTTGTTGGCGAAGACCCGAGCAAAGCGGGTCGGGAAGAAGGCCGGTGGACAGACGCCGAAGAGGCCTGGCGACGAGGTTTCCCCTGCCTCGAGAAAAGGGGGGATTCGCAAGTACCCTCCAAGGGGAATCAGACAATGGTGGCGCCGAAGAGGACGATGGAGGCACTGAAGAAGCCCACCACTTGGGAGAAGCGCCTAAGAAGCCCAGCACTCGGGAAGAGGCGCCGAAGTGGCCCAAGGTGGAAAAGAAGAGGCCTGCCATAGACGCGCCGAGGGAGGAGCCCCCACGGAAGGTTGCCAACATAGATAGGCAGGCTGAGGAGGTGGTGCAGAGGTTCGTGCCTGGGGAGTGCCCGTTTGGGCCTTCGTCAGTTCCCCATCAGTATAGGGCGCCTCCGAGAGGACCGAAGGGGCCGGCAAAACTTTTCACCCCCAATGGCAGCTCTGAGAGGGGGACTCCATCCGTGACGAGGGGGTCAGCCAAGAGCTAGTCAGCGGGTCCATTCTGCCGAGGGATCGCTACCGCCTTCTGCAAAGCGACCCCAAATCTATTTACGACGAGGGACTGTACCACTTGGCCGAGGTAAGACGTTCTTCAAAGCTTCACCGTGTATATGTTTGTTTTATTTATTTTTTGTTTTCGCTGATCAGTTTTGTGGCAGGCCTGTCTACACTTCGTCGGCTTGGGGGACCGAACAAGGCTGGCCATGGGCCGTGTCGACAAGGCCGAGGAGAAGAAGTCCACAGAGGAGAAGCTCCAGAAGGTAACCGCCGCCACCGAGGAGAAGCACCAGAAGTTTCGCAAGGCACTTCTGGACGAACAATCGCTTCGGCACCGCCTTGAAGTTCTGTTGTAGGAGGCGCGACAAGGGCTCTCCAAAGAGCAAGTGGAGCGGGTAAGGCTGGAGAGTATCGTCACAGAGGCAGAGAGACGAGCTTCCATGGCCGAGAAGAGGACTGCCGAAGCCCTAAAGAGAGCTGTCGAGGCAGAGGCGAAAGTTGTCGAAGCCCTAGCTTTGGTGAAGTCAAAGAAGGCAGCAGCCAAGGCAGTGGAGACGTACAAGAAGTCTTCCGACTACCTGGACGCGTTGGCGGAGTATGCTTCATCATCTTACCTCGATGGCATAGAGGACACTAAGAAGGCACTCCTATTGGTGCTACTGGATTTTGATGTTGAGGGGTTGCAAGTGATCCCCGACGCTCTTGCCGAAGACGTCATTCCCCCTCTGGCCAATGACGAGGCGTAGATGTAGACTTCCACCCTTGTCACCGAACTCACCAGGAGGTCCTCTTGGACCAGGCCTTGCACCAGGATCCCTAAACGATGGTTGGTACTCAGGCCAGGCTCCTCCCTTCTTATTTTGTTCTGTTGCTGTAATAGTTTTGTTGTTTTTTTTTTGGGGCACAATACAAAATTTTGTAAAGGCTGTACAATATCAAAATTGAATAGTGAATGAAGTGGATGAAGCCATTTTTTGTGTACACTGTGTTTTTTGTATGTTGTTTCTTTCCTTCTCTTTTTTCTCTTTTTTTTTTTGTATATAAGAGGTCCTTGCCCCTTTGAAAGGTTGAAACCATGATACACAAAGCACATACGATTTAGTCGTAGCATTCGTTTATTTACACGCTTATCTCGACTTGTCTGAATGAAGAGCTACGGCGGAGTAGCACCATCGGGGTGCAGCTCCCCTGACTCATTCTTACCAAATGTTCTCTCGGGGGAGGCCGAGGTGTTCCATCGACGAAGCCAAGGGCTCTGCCTCGTTGTTTTCTTTGCGCTAAGTGCAGATGGCCGAGGGGGTCACCACGTTCCGAGGTGAGAAGGTGAAGTGAAGAGGAACTTTGCTTCATTCATTCATTACTTTCATCAAAAAATGAATCTGTAGTACATTTGGAGGTTCTCCAAGTTCCACATCTGAGGGACGGGTCTTCCATCTAAGTTTTCGAGTCGAAATGTGTCATGGCCGAGAGCTTGCTTGATCCGTTAGGGGCCCAACTTCCCTACTTCTGGTTTGGGAACCATGACCTTCATGAGGACTAGGTCTCCCTCTCTATAGTGTCTTTCTTTCACTCTGGAGTTGTAGTAGTAGGCCATTCGCTGTTGATAGGCAGTCATCCTTATCTGTGCTTGCTCTCGGGCTTCTTCCAGCAGGTCTAAGTTCGCTCTGAGCGCCTCGTCGTTCTCGTCCTCGGTATACCCTTGGACCCGAAGCGTTGGTTGACCAATTTTCGTTGGGATCACTGCTTCCGTGCCGTAGGTCAGACCGAAGGGGGTTTTTCCCATCGTTGTCTGAGGTGTGGTTTGGTATGCTCATAGGACGCTGAGTGGTTCGTCGACCCATAGGCCTTTATCTCTATCCAGCCTGGTCTTTAGCCCATCCAAGATGGTTCTGTTTGTGACCTCGGCTAGGCCGATCATTTGGGGGTACCCCATCGAGGTGTATTATTGCCTAATGCCGAGGGAGGTGCACTGTCCTCGGAATTTAGCATCGTCGAACTGCTTTCCATTGTCTGTGACCAGCATGTGGGGGAGTCCAAACTGGCAAATGATGTTCTTCCAAAAGAAGCTTTGAATTGCCCGCGCAGTGATAGTGGCTAGGGGTTCAGATTCCACCCATTTAGTGAAGTAATCCACAACAACAACGATGTACTTCTTGCCTACCGTAGCCTGAGGGAAGGGGCTGAGGAGGTCCATCCCCCACTTGGCGAAGGGCCAGGGGCTGTTAAGGGCCGAGAGGGTGTTCACTGGTTGATGACAGAGGTTAGCATGTCTCTGACACTGATCACATTTCCACACCAGCTTGGTCGCATCCTTGTGAAGTGTTGGCCAGAAGTACCCTTGCCTTAAAGTTTTCTGGGCTAGGGACCAGCCACCGAGGTGATTGTCGCAGATGCCTTTGTGAATTTCCTAGAGCACATTCTTGCCCTCCTCCCTACAGAGGCATCGAAAGTAAGGCAAGGTGAGGGACCTCCTATACAACTTTCCTTCTAGCAAAGTGTAGTGTGTTGCCTATCGACGGAGTTTCTGGGCTTCGTTCCTGTCATTGGATAGTCTTTCTGTTAGTAGGAAGTCGATGATAGGATCCATCCAAGACGGTTCGACTTCCATGGGTAGGATTTGGATCTCTTCTATGGAGGGCTGGGCTAGTCTTTCCACGCACACAGTGCGGCCGAGGGCCGCATCCGAGGTGCTCGCCAATTTGGAGAGGGCATTGGCTCGGGAGTTCTTAGCTCACAGGACTTGCTACAGAGAGAAGCGTTGGAAGTGGCGGGCTAACTCTTGAACTTTGGCGAGGTACTTAGCCATGCTTCGTTCTCTGGCCTCGTACTAACCATTGACTTGATTCACCACCAGTTGCGAGTCACTGAGGACTTCGACGTGCTTGGAGCCGAGGTCTCGAGTGAGCTGCGACCCCGCCAAGAGGGCTTCATACTCGGCTTCATTGTTGGATGCGAGGAACTTGAATCTCAACACATATTCTATGACAACATTGTCGGGGGTGAGGAGAATGAGGCCCGCTCCACTCCCTTTGGCGTTGGATGAACCATCAACAAAATGTTTCCACATGGGCGAGACCCCCTCGGCCGTCGTGCTTCTTCTGGCTCATCTTCGCGAGGCAAGCCGAGGGGCTTGCTGAAAGTGCTTTCTGCTATAAACACAGCCAAGGCTTGCGCTTTTATCGCAGGTCTCAGCAGGTACTGTATATCAAACTTTGATAGTTCTACTGCCCACTTAATCAGGCGTCTCGAAATCTCTGGCTTGGCGAGGACAGCTCTAAGGGGCTGATTTGTCAGGACCACTATGGAGTGGGCTTGGAAATATGGCCTGAGCTTTCTGGCCGAGGTGACGAGGATGTAAGCTAGCCTCTCCACTTTGGGGTACCGGGTCTCAGCATCGTTGAGGACCTTACTAACATAGTACACGGGTCTCTGAACTCCGTCATCTTTCACCAGGACCGAGCCGACGGCCTCGTCTCCGGTTGATAGGTACAAATATAGGGTTTCTCCTGACACCGGCCGAGTGAGGAGCGGAAGTGAGGCGAGGTACCGTTTAAGCTCATCGAAGGCACGATGGCACTCCTCCGTCTTGGAAATCTTTCAGCTTCTTGATGGTGCGGAAGAAGGGAAGGGCGGCTATTTTGCCGGTGACCCTCTGAGTCTCATTCACTAACCGAGGGGGTGCCATGTCTAGTATGACCTGTACCTTGCTTGGGTTGGATTCGATGCCCCTTTGAGTGACGACAAAGCCTAAGAATTTGCTCGAGGTAACCCCGAAGGCACACTTGCTTGGATTGAGCTTCATGTTGAACTTACGCAGAGTATCGAAGGTCTCGACCAAGTCTGATGTGTGCGCTTCAGCCTTCAGGCTCTTCACCACCATGTCGTCCACGTAGGCTTCAATGTTCCTCCCCATCTGATTCTAGAAAATCTTGTTGACAAGGTGCTGGTAAGTGACCCTTGCAATCTTGAGGCCGAACGATATCACTTTATAGCAATACGTGCCTTGCTCAGTGATGAAAGATGTCTTCTCCTCGTCATCGAGGTGCATCTGGATCTGGTTGTACCCGGAGAAGACATCCATGAAGCTGAGTAGTTCATACCCTGTAGTGGCATTGACAAGGTGGTCTATCCTCATTAAAGCAAAATTGTCCTTTGGGCAGGCTCGCTTTAAGGTCTGTGAAGTCAATACAGATCCGCCATTTCCCATTAGCTTTCCTTACCAAAACCACATTAGAAAGCCAATTAGGGTAATGTACCTCACGGATGAAGCCGACATCGAGTAGCTTGTCAATTTCCTCTCCTATAGCCTTCCATCGTTCTGTTGCAAAGTTCTTCTTTTGCTGAACTGGCTTAGAGCTTGGGTCCACGATCAGCTTGTGAGTAATGACCGAAGGGTCAATTTCGGGCATGTCAGTGGTGGACCAAGCAAAGACGTCAGCGTTAGTTCTAAGGAAACTTACCAGTTTAGATAGGCGTTCAGGGGGGAGGTTGGACCCAACGCAGACTGTCCTCTCTGGGGCTGACTCATCCAGGGGAACCGAGACGAGGTCCTCGGCTGTTTGGCCTCGACTCACTGGTTCTTCCCGGGGGTTGAGGCTCTCCAGTGACAAGGCCTCCTTATTTTTTCCTTTTAGTGCCGCCACGTAGCATTGGCGGGCGATCTGTTGGTTCCTATGAACGACTCCGACGTCGTGCTTGGTGGGAAACTTAAGGGTCATGTGATAAGAGGACATGGCAGCCCCTAGTGCATGAAGGGTTGGTCTTCCCATTATTGCGTTGTAGGGAGAGGTAACCTTCACCACTAGGAACTCATGCATCCAAGTCACCTGGTGTGGCGTTGTCGCCATCGTGCTGGACAGGGTAATCTTTCCTTCCAGCTTGGTGACGCTGTCGAAGAAGCCGATGAGAGGAGCGTTAGCTAGCTAGAGCCTCTCTAGCGCGAGCTTCATTCTCTCATAGGTGTCAGAAAATGATGTTGGCTAACAAGATGTTGTCCACTAAAACCTTCTTCACCATAAAATTGGAGATGATGGTTGCGACCACGAGGGCACCGTTGTGGGGGGACAGTGACCCCCTCGAGGTCCTCGTCAGTGAAGACGAGGGCATGTGAACATCTCGGCCTCTGTAGAGTGTCCAGGTATTTCTGCTTCTTCGGGGCAGGCTCCTGGATGTTGAGCTGCCTGGCGTAGGCTTTTCGAGCCGAAGCTGAGGCTCCACCTGAGGCCATGCCCCCGATAATGACATCGATGATGTCTTCCACTTGCTGGTGCTGGTGTTGCTGGGATGATGAGGCGTCGGCCTCTCCTCCGACGAACTACTTGAGGTGTCCTTGGCGAATGAGGGACTCTATTTCATTCTTCAGATCGTGGCAGTCCTCAGTGTCGTGTCTAGTGCCGCGGTGGTACTTGCAGTACTTCGTAGGGTTCCCCCTCTTGGGGTTCCTCTTCACTAACTTCTCTTCCCCTATCTGCATCAGAATTTGGGTGTGGGTGGAGTTGAGTAGCGTGTAGTCCCTGTAGGCTAGGGTGGCGGGCTTCTTGTTGTCTTTGCCACCATTGTTGCTAGGGTGGTGTTGGTCTCCACTTTTCCTCTTCTTCTCCGGGGGCCTGTCGTGGCGCTCGGCTGCCCTTTCTTGGTTGTCTCCGATCCGGCCGAAGCCTTTTTGGCCGCGATGTATTTCTGGGCCTTCTTGAGGAATTTGAGTTTGGTCTTCGATAGGGTCTTGGCAACCGAGCACTTGAGAGCCGAGCTGGGGTGAAGTCCGTTGATGGCCGCATGCATGGAGACCATAGGGTTGAGGTCTCGAACTTCGAGCTCTTCTTTCTTGAAGCGGTCGATGTAAGACCGCAAGCTTTCACCCGACCTTTGTTTGAGCGACATCAGAGAGACTACACTCTTCTGGCATTGCTTACTGCTAATGAAGCGGGTGAGGAACAGGGTTGTAAATTGCTCCCATGAGCTGATCGATGGAGGAGGATGACTGGAGAACCAACGACGAGTGGCCCCCCTGAAGGTAGCCTGGAAGGTCCGGCACGTCAAGGCGTCAAAATAGCCGTACAGTATCATGAGTGCTCTAAAACCCTCCAGGTGGTCATCGGGGTCAGTGCTTCCGTCGTATGTCTCCAGTGTGGGAGCCTTGAAGTGTGGTGGGAGAGTCTCCGAGATGATTTTCTGGGTGAATGCGTCCATGCGACTGACGGAGTTGTCGTGACTGGTTGAGGCATCGACTCGACTCTCCTTAACTTGGTGGAGCTCGTCCTTGACAGCCCCAATCTCGGCTTGCAACTCGGCGATCCCTGGGTTGGCACGGGCATGGGCCCTGCTCTTGTCTTCGCGGACCCGATGGGTGTCAGCTCGGACTCTTGAATACTCCGAGACAGGGTCACGTGCTCCTCTGCGGGCGCAACGATCATTCAAAACGTCCTTGAGGTTTGAGATGGGAGGTGGAGTGGGATGGCGTCGGTTCTCGCCTTGGGAGTGAACTACAGGGCGGCCGAACTGCCTTCCATCATCCTAGGGGGCCTCCCTACGACGGTGGTGCTGCTGCTCCGAAGATTGATGACTGTCTGCGGATTGAGTGGGCACACTCTCCCTTCGGCTCGGAGGACAGACATTCCTTCGAGGTGAGTCCGAGAGGCGGTTATTGCCCGATTCTGATGGTTCGGCCAGTGGATTACCGTGGTGGAGGGCCGGTATCTCGATGTTCTCACGCTGACCCTGATCCTCTGACACCCCAACGGGGCAGCCGCCTTGAGAGAGACCTCCTACTCGGGGGCAGACTTCTTCCATTTGTTGGGTGAGGCGGTCCAAACGATTAAGAACATCCTGAAACTGTATGTAGGTAACCAGGTTTGGGGTGTTCCAAGCTCTCCTCACCATGGCTTTCGAGCTTACAGGGATTCTGGATCTTAGAGTGTTATTATTGTTTATCCTGAAGTGGGGGTCGTCTTAGCAACCACTTTCCCACAGACGACGCCAATTGTTGCCGCACGGTTTGGTCGAGGGCAACAAGGTAAATTTACTCTTCAACTTTCGAGCGTTATCCGAGGACCCCAAGGCTTCGGAAGAGGTTGACCGAAGCTGAGGACAGCAAACCGAGGCAAAGTAATCCTTCCGAGGACTACAATTGCCGAGGACTGCTAGTCGAGGCGAGGTCCCTGATGGCCTGAGATATTGCAAGACAAGGAGTGTTAGAGGCCTTGGGGTGGATACCCGAGGCGGAGGCTACGACAATCAAGTTAGTACGAGGTGTGAAGCTGGGGAGAGTGTGAGAGTGCTCCTAGATAAAGTCCTCGGATGCACTAGATCTCCCGGAATTAATGTTGGGTAGACAATGTAGGTGCAGAAGGTAAATGAGAGAGTAAATGTTGGAGTTACTCCATTCCCGCCCCTTTTCCAGGGCAGTTACCTCTTATTTATACTCGAGTGTGCTGGTGGTAGGTAGAGATGAACGCTTCGGATGAGAGTCGTACGAGGTCAGGTTGCAGGCCCTGGCGATACGCCAGATAGTTATGTGATTGGCTCCGTACGAAGGCAGCAGGGCTCTCGCCTTCTATGGTTGACGTTAGCAGGCGTTAGTGGGCTGGGCCCTCTAGCCCTATGTGGGCTGGACCAAGCTAACCCACATCACTTACTAACACTCTAAAAATGCCATAATAAAACCATTATTTTGTTATCCAATAATTTGATAATTTATAATTATGCCAATTCCAATAATTACCATTATTTAAAATAATTTTCAATAATTTTCTTATTAGAAATTACAGAAAAAAATTTGTTATTCAAAACAATTATTGATAACAATTTTTATTCAATAATTTCCTAATTTCATAATTATGGTAATTTCAGTAATTTTCTTGTTAAAAAATGACAATTACTGACTTTTTTATTGATAAATGAATAATAATAACACTAATTTTTAGGCTAAAGTTATCATTATATTACTTTTAACTTCTTCTATTTATCTATTTTCATTAAGGGTAATTATGAGGAAATCAGTAATAATAACGAGAATTATTGAATAATAATAATTTTTATTAACTAATAATAGTAATTACAATTATTTTCAAATGATAGTTACATAATAATAACAATTATAATTATCCCATAGAAATATTTGATAATTTCAAGTTTATTGGAAATTATTGATAACTTAAAAAATAATAACAGTGATTTTTAAAATAACTTTTTATTCAATAATTTTGTTAAAATTATTTTTTTATACAATGATTTGTTACTTCAGAAATTTGATAATTGTGGAAATTTAAGTAATTACAGTAATTTTGTTATTCAATAATTTGATAATTTTGAAATTATTGATAATTTCAAAATTATTGAGATTATTAATAGTCAAAATTATAGATATTTATTTTTAATAATGACATAAATTGATAATAACAACTACTAAAATTACCATCATTATGAAATTATCAAATTATTTAAGAACAAAATAATTATCAATAGTTATTATTGAATTATCAATATTTTTTAATACTTTTGTAATAATTGCAAATCATTTTAAATTTACTATTATTATTTTTTAACTATTAGCAACCTCAACAATTTTGACATCAAAAATAATTTCAAAATTTTCAAATTATTAAATTATATCCAAGCATTTCTTTTACATCATAATCTCCATAGTACCACACACCTATACATTGCCATGAATTTTTTTGCCTTCATGTAGTACCTCCAAATACAATTTTAAATAAGTCTATTTGAAATAGAAGTGGGTCCTCACTTCTCTATGGCTTTTGATCACCATAGAAGTAAATTGGCAGAAATCATGTAAAGTTTTTGCTATCCACGTGTTTGTGTTTTTGGGATACCTGTCTTTTGTTATATGTAAGGGTAAAATAGAAGGCTTTGAGGTTGTTCGCCAATTCATTTAGAGATATATTAAAAGGGGTAAAATTGGAAACAAAAAATCAGGATGTTCGACCAAAAAAATTGATCATTCTCATTTTTATAAATGGTAATAGACTAGTATTATGATGATAATATCTAATACATTTTCAATTTTTTTTATATTTCTACATCTATAAAAGTTATTCTTATTTATCACATTTATTATAGTTCATTAATATAAAGATATGTCCAAATAAAATTCTTGCAAAGGTAACAAGAATTAATAAAATTCTTATTATTCTTTTTTATTATGGCTCATTAATAAAATTAATAATTTTTATCAGTTACCTTCGTCAAAATTTTATTTGAATTCTCGTTACCTTTGCAAGGATTAAGTTATATATGATAAATCCAACTTTAGCTCCTTCAATCACTAAAAACTTCACAATGAGTTGCTATAAAAAATATCATTTACTCTTATAGATATCTTGCCATCCAATGATGTGGTCTTTAAGGCAACGGAAATGAAAAATTAACCCACCATATGGTGGGAATAAAGAAAAAAAAATCATCTGCTACCTTAATGATCAAGAGTTGAACCAATAAAATAGGTTAAGAATATTTAAAAAAAAAACAAGAAAATAGTTTAAAGAATGAATTACTCATCCATTTGCAAGTTAGAAATCTCTTCATGGTGGTTAATGTGGCCCAACATTGGCTATTGGGAACATAAGATGTAATTTCAGTTTTTTTTTTAATTTAAATAAATGAAAAAGTAAATTGCTAAAACCTCCCATAAAATTTTTTATCATTGTAGAACCCCCTTGAAGTTTGGTAAATGCAATCACCTCTCATGGACTTTTTTTTACACAGTTGCAAGTAAACCCTCTGTTAGAATCTTCCAACAAAAAGCACAAAATGTCCAAAATGCCCATGTAGTTACTTTTGACCACAATGTTTATTTTCCAATTTTTTTCTTCGTATCAATCACTACCCC